CATATACTGGTTTTACATATCTAATGATAACGAATTTTAGAATATTTGAGTGCAAGGGCTGCGGGCTCTACTACTAGGATGCTATATTTACAATGGCATTGCAAGATCAACAAAAAAGGTTTTGAAATTATCATAAAATTTTGCAATCTATGAAAAGTTGATCAATTATCTCTTATATTGTATAATCATGGTCATCATCATTGTGTAGATCACTTCTATATATTCATTATCTCCTTTTTGTGTTGTATTTCATTATTGTTTTCTACACGTATCTCTTTTGTGATCTTTGTCAAAATAATTTAAGGCCTCGTCTCACAAAGGTTTAACTTTAGGATGAGGGGTTAAGGGAAAACGTTGACTTAGTTAACTCATTTTGAGTAAAATGTGATCCAATTTGTTGATTTCTACATAATGTTTATTCAGTGTTTAATAACAAAGTGAATTAACTTTTATAAATAATTTATCAATCTGTCTAAAGAGATGCATTAGTAACCTACTTCTTTGAGTAGCCAACTCGTTCAGAAGGATTAGAATTTTTTTTTTCACAAATATATAAGGGTTTATCCTTGCCAAAACACAAGGACTAATTGCACATAGATCCTCTATAGTATATGGTTTTTCGCATTTATTATTCATGTGGTTTAGTTTACGCAGATAAACTCCTTGAGTGAATTTTTTTTACTCTTATACCCTGAATTGTTATTATCCTTGTGCTTTTATCCCTCGACTGAAATTGTTTTTTTTTTTTTTTTACTGTCAGGAGTAAAAGATATTTACACGCGAAGGAAGCTATAGGTATTCTAATTAAGTTTATGAATCATATTAAAGAGAGGGTTAAAACAAATACGTGCGTGTCACATGTGTAACCACTTTTTCCTTTTTCCGTGCGATCCCGCATTTTTATTTTTTATTTTTGTTTTTATTTTTTACACTTCATTTTCACAACTGAGCCTGCGTTGTTCTCGTGAATGGTTGAGTTGGCGCACATGCTGCCCGCGGCTTCCTTACACTTTGTCCCCCCACACTCTGCTTTTTCACTCCTCCCTGTTTTACCCCCGCATTAAAATCAGAAATTACTCCATTTTTTCTCACGAAGTTAATGTGTTGGTTACGGAGATTGTCCTTCTCTTCCAGAGTGTTTACATTTTAACACTCGTCTCTCTTGAGCCATCATTAACTTGGTTTTACACACTTAATAGAACTATCAGCTACATCTATACATCGGCATGATTAGAGCATCTCCAACAGCTTCCTCAAAAATTTCTTCAAAATGGAGAAACAAAAGTCATATTCTCTAAATTATTTTTGCTCCAACTCCAACAACTTCCCCATTTTGAAGAATCCTGCATTTATTACAATAATAAAAATATCCTACATCTTTGACATGAACTTTAACAATAAAGATTTAAACATGAATTTTTTTTCTTTTGCCCCCTCATTTTATAGTGGAATTGAGTCGTTTTTTGAGTAGTTGGAAACTTGAAGAACGTGAAACATTTATGACAAAGCTCTCCCCAAAAATTTAAAGAATGCTACAGATTTGGGAAAAGCTCTCTTTTTTTCTCCTTCATCTCTATTTTGGGGAATGAGATGGTGAATCTATTGGACAAAAAAAGCCCAAAATTCTCCAAAAGTGATAATACCAATAAAATGAGAAGCTGTTGAAGATGCTCTTAGTGCCCTGACACAGTTTCACCAATAATTTAATTGACATTGTCACGATCGATAAAACTAATCAGTAAATTAACTGATAATCGTCACTTCATAACTAGTCCTAACAACCTCTTTCCCACCTTACACAAAAATGTCGTTTCGAAAAAAAAAAAAAATCAAACATCATTGCTCACCAGCGATATTATTTCTACGTTTTTAGATTTATTATTGTTATTGCACATTCAAAATCTTTAGATCCTTTAATATTGCTTTTCTGTGACCGTATGTATGTAGTTTCGATCAACGAAGAAATCACAACCATGTTCTTCTTTTTTCCAAAAAATCAAATTCTCAAAACCATGTCGTTGCTAACTAATCAACGCCCACACCATCACCAGCCTCTCGGAGTTGGATCGCCGTCTCATAATAGCCATCTTATTTCTTGTACGAACATCTACGGTCCAGTTTCAAAAGTAACCATCTTCAAGTATAAATGTATAATTATATATAAACCCATTTAGCCGAACAAAATTAAAACAAATTTAGTCTTAGTAGGAAATTCTCCACAGATCTGAGGGTACTATGCCAAAGACGGGCCAACGCGTGCCCTCCCCGTTGTCGGGTCCCAGACGTAGGAGGATGGAATTCAGGGGCATTTTCGGTATCCAATAAAGTGAGTGGGTGCAGTCTGGTTCGCTTGCCAGAAACACTTGCTTTATTTTAATAGGAATATTTATATCATTGTTATTCTATTCTGTTTTAGTAAATCAATCAGCAAAGCATCTAAGCTTGTTGCAGTAAAGCAGAAGCAGGCAGCCCCCTCCATTCCTTTAGTTTTTATTTTTTATTTTTATTTTTTTGGGCAGAAAAATATTTTTTTTAAAAATGCAGTAATAAATGAAGAAAAAAAGGGTAAGGGAAAAGGGCATCTCAATAGCATCAGTTCCTGCAACTACCCATGTTCTCTCATAAAAACCAAACTCTGATTCCTTCTCCTCCCTCTTTAACTGCGTACATCATCTCTCTTTCCCCCTTTTCCCATGCTGTACTCTATCATGCATATAACAGAATATGAGAGGAAAGATATAAAAGTGGTAGGGTTTTTTTTTTTTGTTAATTAATTGTTGTATCATGCTCATGTTGATGATCACAATGTCGTGCATTAGTGTAACATATCATGTTCATGGGACTAGGTAGTGTCACATATTGCCCTCAATAATTAAGGATGGCCAAATATATAGGATACCATCGCATTAATAGAAGCATGTATTTTGTTGTCCATTTTATTTCTTGTTAATTATTATTTCCATGTAATTTATTTCGTTATGGCTCCTCAACAAGCACCATGAAATAACCATTATAAAATTAATTTTTTTGCACCATTTAGTGCTACTCAAGTTGTTTTAACTCAAATCTAAATCAAGAATCTAGCACTTGTGAATATAAGCAAATCATATGTTGGGGAATTTTAGTCCCCTGCGTACTACGTACGATCTCAGAACTCGGAAGCTAACCCACAATTAATAAGATAGAAAACAACCACAATCAAGAAGAAAGAACGCCGAGATTTACGTAGTTCGGTCGACTAACTTCGACTTACGTCCACGGGGCAACAATACGAGAAATCAACTATGTATCAGGGAGTACTACAAGAGGAATCACTCAACTCTCGTCTCTCAATCTCTCAACCTCACATACATAATCAACTCTCATATTATCTCCAAAACCCTCACCTTACAATCTTTTGAACAGACAAAGACTGTGAAACCCTCTCCCAATGATATAATCTTTTACACGGACAAAGACTACGAAATCATCGCCTCTCGTATAATATTTTTGAATCAAGTTACGCCCTCTGCTAACCCTAGATTACAAGAATATTGGCTCTCTCTCATATGTTTGGTTTTCCTCCAACAATAGAAGAATATATATAGGGAAACCAACACCCTATCTCTAGCCTAACTTCCTAATTATAATAGGATTCAAACTCATAATCATGATAAGACCCAATCTCCTAATCATTATAGATCTTTAACCCTATCTAATTCTTATGAAGCTATACAAAGAATCAAAGGCATGATCCCAACAACATAAGGGTAGGTCAGCAAGTTACACTTTTGAGTTAGATTTGAGTTGGCAATTTTGATTTATGAAAGCACTATGCATTAGCATTTCTAATCCTTATGAATTATTCCCTTTCCTCATTAATGCTTCTATAACCCATGAGGATTATATTACAGAAAAACTTTGATATAGTAAGGGAACTACTTCATCATGCCTAGTATTTCAATAAAATTAGAAGAGCAGAGAAACATAGGATGAATCATAAATAAAACTAATTCAATATTACCGAACGAATCACATTATGTTTTTCGCAGGACGATTTATGGCCGTCCGCATATTTCAGATATAGAGAGATATTGACGCAAGAACACCATTATAATTAATCAATATTTTAAACAGAAATATGTTCTATTACATATGCGTTAATTTTATATTCATGGGTTTATAAAGGAAGGAATGGTAGAATTAATTTTTGGGTGTTGAGCATCGATCAAGTCTAATTACTGCGTTTTTTATAACGGCTACACATATATAAAAAAATACTTTTTTGAGATTAAAATATGTATTAAACATGTATTTTATATTAAAAAAAAATTGTAAGATATTTGAATATTAATTTCATATTTTATCATAAGGTTGCAAAACTATCACTTAAATAGTAAGCCGTTGAGAAGTAAAATTCTATATTTGAACTCACTAGAAATAAGGGTTTTAATTCTTATTAATTAGATTAGTATAAAATCGATTTGTAATTCACTTCAATTTCATGAATTGGGTTTCAGTGGTCTTGAAGTAATTTAATTTCAAAAATCTATGTTATATTTACTTTATTAATTTCATTACTTCCCATGGTTCTGCAAGTAATTTAATATTAAAAAATCCAATATTGTCCCTGATATGTCTTTTAATGAAACTATTAATATTGTTACTTAAAGAAGGAAAATATGAAAGTATTAATATTTGTCTATTTTCCGAAAAAGAATTGGTAGGATTTTATGTTTTCTAATGTGCTGAAAATTAACATTCACCTTGCCTCCACAAAAATAAAATAAATAAATAAAAATATCAAAATGACCACATAGATTCCCCTAAAATTAGTAGCTTCCTTCTCCAGATTTGTTACTAGTACATCTGACATGAACCCCAGAAGGGTAATATGCGTGAAAGAGCCTATAAAGAACTTCTCTATTCACATATTTTCTATTTGAAAAATATGAGCGTTTGCTCAATGAAGAAATCTACGAATATTTTTACAAAACAAAATAAATGGATACACTAAACACTTGTAAAATAAATACATGAACTGATAATTTGGCGATCATAATACAACAGCGTACAATAGCGACTAGTAAAAATAATGTAAAAATAAGAAGAAGGAAAAACATGTACATTGTCTTTGTAACAGTGTACAAACCAACATCAAGACCCATTATCATAAGTAACCAATTTTTATGACCCCAAAAAAAAAAATTACATAACAAAAAAAAAAATCCCCGCGCCAAAACACCAGCCTCTCTTCTTGCCCCACTAGCTTTTTTTGCTCTTAGTTTGGACATAATAATTTAAGCTCTCTCTCTCTTAATCCCACAATTTTCCAAATTTCTTTTGATTCTCTCTCCCTCTCTCTCTCTCTATATATATATATATGTTGGTATAAGTTTGTAATACTAGTGGTTTAGCTTATTCCTTTGGGTATCCCTTGGCTGTTCCCTTGAGCGGAGAGTATCCTTATTCCACAACAAATAAATGAAATTGAAAATGGTAACACCATGACACTGCTACATAATTTTAGATAGACAACAGCAACAACATGAGCACGAAGAAGAAAAGGATGATGATGATGATGATGAAAGTACTGAGGATTTCGCCGGCTTTTCCCTGTTAATTATCGGACCCCGACATTTTGCCTCTGGAACTGGATTCTGAACTGCCCGTTCCCGTCCTCGTCGTCCTCGTCCTCGTCGTCCTCGTCCTCGTCATCGTCCATGTTGTCGCTGTCGCCGTAGTCGTTGTTGTTCGACTGCCCACCGCCCATCAGCTCCTTCACGATGTCTTCTGGCTTCAAGAACATAAATCAATGGAATTAATTGAGTACATAAAATCTGCAATTACAAGAAATTAATCTACGCGCTGGCGCTGCGTAATTCAGTCTACCTTCTTCATAACCCACTTTGTCACCGCCGCGGTGCGCAGCTCCGCTCTCCGAAAAGCTGACGCCAATTCCTCCGTTACTGGGGCGCCAGCCGCCGAGGCCCAGCGTTCCGCACATTGCCATTGCCGTTCTTGCTCTGCAACCTCCTCCTGGCCCTTGTTGCTGCTGATGATAGTTTGTTGTTAGCGGCGGAATCATCGAATCGGGGGTCGGGTATTCGGTAATGGGGCTCGCATGCGCCTCGTTGGTCTTCGGTCTCTTGAGATCAATGCCGGCGTGCGTCTGTCGCTGCTGCTGCTGCGGGTCATGTATTTGCTGCGGTACCAAAGCGTCAGCTGGTGGAAGTAGGTGGCAGGTTCTTCGCATCCTCGTTTTCCTCCTTTTTGTTGCTCTCCTTCACCTTCTTGAAGTACTTTGTTGATGTTCTCCCACTTCTCTTTGCATCTCTTCGCGCTAGCGGCTGTACGCGAGCCGCTGCATCCCCGCTGAGATTCTCCCTCCATAGTGGCCCTTTGGCCTGATTCTTGTAGCGATTGGTCGAGCCCGCTGCGGAGTTTGATGAGGCGATGACCTCAGATTTGGGCCATCGGGATGACGATGCTTGATTCCCAGGCGCTCCGCTCAGTCATGTCCCTTTCTTTGTGGGGGCTCGATGACGCATCGTGGTGACCCAGTCTCCGACCGACACTGCTGCTGCAGGTGGGCTGCGGGTGGAGGCTAAGCGGCGGCGAGGTTGGTGATCCTGCTGCTGCTGCGGATTTGTTGAGGCGGCGCGGTGCGTCGGCTGCCGTGGCGGCGGTTTGTTGCTGTTGGCGCTGCTGCTGGTGTGGGTGTGAATTTGCGGCGGCGGCGCTGTGGGTTTGGAACGAGAGGTTGGGGCGCGGGCGTGCGGGGCTAGCTTGTACGTTTGTCCGTGAACCTTCTGGGAGGAAGGAGATGAGGGCGGAGTCTCAGGGGCGCGGCCGCGGCGCGCTCTGGGCGGCGACTCGTGATCTCGGCGAGCCTGGACATCTCCTGCTCCCGCGCACGCCTGCCTCTCGAATAATCCGATCCTGCTCTCGCTTCTCGAACTCGCCTCCAGAAATCTCTGCTGATCGCCTCTGCCATCTCCATCACTTGCTCATCAGCCCGTCGAAGAAGGCCATCATCATTCCGGCCGCCCCCGCTGCTCGCCGCCGCCGTCCCGCCGCTCTCGCGACTTCCCGCCGCTCGGCCCCTCCTCCGTAGCCTCGTCTCGTCGTCACGACTCGGGGAACACCAATCGACGAGGAGGAATTCGTCGAGAAGCTGATCGACGCGGCGGAAAGCCCGCAGCGGGTCCACCCGCGGTCGCCGTGCGGGAATTCGTAGAGCCATCATCGGCCTGCTGGCGGCGGCGCTGTAAACGGCGGCCCGGACGGCACGGTGCTGATCGGGGTCGGCGCCAGACGATCTGCACTCGGCCTGGGCCCATCGCCGTCGCCGACTGAAAGCGGGAGGGGGGCTGGCTGCTGTGCGGAACAACGGAGCACATTAAGCCCCCGGCGGAGCGGTCGGCATACTGGTCGACGCGGTGGTAGTTGTGGAGGCTTCAAGCTGGCCTGAAGAAGCGTAGCTCTTGCGTCCTAGGCAGGCGGCGGCGG